AATGACACAATAGCTGTTAATGGAAATGAGATTTTTGTATTTTTTTGTTTTCAAAGAATAAAAATTAAAAAATTAAAAAAAAGAGAGAGAAAATCTCAACACACACACACACACACACACGTGATGAATATACCTAATAATCCTTGCTCCTATTTTCCCCACAACAACCCTATTAGGTGGATTGAGCTGAAAAAGAGTGGCTGTCCCCAAGCCATCCAGCTGGCTTTCATGCCTGAGGCCAAACTAGAACTCATAGTATCCTGGTTTCCAGCCTGGTGCAATAACTACTAAGCCAGACTGTCTTGAAACAGAATATTGTTAAGCCTGAAAAAGACAGCATCATGATCATGGGACAGTGGGTCCCCAATGCAAAGCAATACTAAAATTCTTAAAGGTAGCTTAAATACCAAATCATCCATTCATCTATTTCTCCCTCTCTCTCCATAATGCTTCTCTTCTTTTCTCTTCTTCTTCTCTTCTCTCATCCCCCCTCTCTTCTCTCCCTTCCCCTCCTGTCCCTGTTGTTAAATGAATCTGGCTACCCCATTGACTTTGCTTGTCAGAATGGCACAAAATATGATCATGTGATTCTGGGACACTGCAACCGTCCCTTTTTTCAGTGCTGTTATAACTTCAAAAGGTGAGTCAAAGACTGTCTATATTTTTGAGGACTATATGGTATATGTTCCACCTTCTCTGATAAATATTTCTTGAGTAGCTCTTAGACAATTTTCCAGGCTTTTGCATGGACTTACCCTGGGTATTCCTACACATAGTTCTATATCTGATCACAAGCTATTGTATTTCTTTGAATTTTATTAACTGTCATTGCCACTGCTAGCATTATAAGAAACTGTCAAGCTTACATTTTGAAAGAAAATGAAATATCTGAAGGGATTAAAATCTGATTTGAAAGTATTATTTAAGTTCCAAGTTCTCCCCTTTCTACCTTGTTTCTTTTTGCTTGTATTTTCTGTTGGATAATTCATGGTCTTGCCATTATGTTTCATTCAATAATGGATTGATATATATTACAACTGTGTTAAAAAAAGTTATCAATATTTTTAAAGTCAGTTGACTCAGAGGCTGTAGGCCATCTCTCTACCTACATATTTCATCGGGAATAAACTTTGGTCTCCACCTCTTCTTTCAGTGCTGTTTTGTTCTTTAAATAATGGATTTTAAAATACTTTATAATCAAATGTTATTACATGAAATGCCTGAACGAGCCTAGAAAAACTCCAAAATTAATCTAAACATGTTTAAAATCATACTTTTGTTTCCTTGGTCCCTAGGGAAGATAAGCTTACTATGTCATTTTATCTTAGCCAAATAAAGTAGAAAAGATTAATTTTATTAAATAGGAAAGAATTGGATTTTGTTGGAAGAAATCCAGAGTCTTTCAAAAATGCTTTGATAATAGGCTGAATTTTGCAATTTTTTTGATCTTTGCAAATATTCACACACAATGGTCATCTAACCCAATGACAGGATTTTAGCCAGCCTTGTTGGCTATGTATTCTGGATTTTTTACACTCCCCCCCCCCCCCCCAAATGTCTGCAAAGAATCATGTTTGGGAAAAACCATCTTAAATTGACAAATCAAATTACTAAAAGCAAATACAGCATCTTGGTTCCTTTTGACACTTTCCTCTACTGTTTCCAAAAGCCAGTTATGGGTAGAAATTTCTCCTATTTATCCATGAGAAGCATCTGGGTAATAAACAAACATATCTATAAAGTAATAAACTAATAAAATAAATTAATCTTCAATCTTTCCACACAGATATCAATTTTACTGAGTGGAATATGGTTTTGTGTTCCTATTAGATTAATGTACATGTTTACAAAGATTCTTGAACAGGGACTGAAGCATCAGCTTGACTCCTGAATCAATAAAGGATAATTTGTATGTCTACGGAGATTCTCAGTCATCCAGGTCATGGTTGCCCCAAAGGTGCTTTTTCAAAGGGTAAAAGGACTTTGTTTTTCTTAAGATAAAACAAAATCCAGTTGCCTTTTGAAAAAGCACTTTTGGGTTAATATTTGAAGCTCAGGGATGAAATGTGGAATCCTTGGTGCTCTCTGAGCTTAGGACTAGCACCAGACGGTGTTTACCTAGTTGGGATAATGAAATGTCTGCAGTGCTCGGGACTAGCACTGATAAAGTTACCTATTTTGGGTAATAAAACTTTTGCAAAAAACAACCAGAGACCACCTAGGACCTCTGACTTCTGTATGAAATGCCAAGGAGACCAGAGTTCTGAATGTCCTCTAGAAGTCAGTAGTTTAGAAGCCTGAAACTGGTCAACAGAAAACAGGAACATACAAGAAACAGCACCATCTTAAGGTGTAAATTTGAAGAGCAGACCATATTAAACTTCTGTTTGGAGAATTGTAAGATACAGAAAAAGTCACTTTATAGCAATAATCTTGAGCCATCTCGCTTACTATAATATATGAGGTGTGTTTATATTTCTATGCTGGTTGGAAGCTGGAAGTCACCACTAGGAATTAGTGGCTTTGCAAGATTTTAAACTAACTTTCCAAGCCCAACCTGAAATTAATCCAAGTATGTCATCTTTCAATGTTAATCTTTCTCCATACAGTAATATCTCTATCATATTCCATATTAACTAAAATGTAAAAGAAAGCGTGGAATGATTGTTTATTTTCTTGCAGACATTTCATTACCAAACTACCTAGCATCATCAATGCAATGTAAGGTTGTAATAATAGTACCATGAGATGGAAGAAAATGAGAGAGGAGGGGGAGGGAGTGAGAGGGAGAGAGAGAGAGAGAGAGAGAGAGAGAGAGAGAGAGAGAATTTGGCATCAGGTTGCTATCATCCTGCAGGTCTAACTGCCCTTTACTATACTGCAGCCAATCCAAATAAATTCATATTGCAGAATTTCTTCTGCTTTTATTACTATTCTTACATTTGTCTCCTTAAGTGCTTTGTAGCTGGCATGGTGATTAATCAGAAACTCTATAAATATACAATGTAAAGATACACTGATGGGAACTGTTTTCTAGAGTCATTTAAGCTTTCTGATTCTGATGGAAATTATTCTCTCGTTTGCATCTTCCTTCCATTCCAGGTTTGATCATGCAAAATAGTTTTCTAATTAAGTCACATACATAATTCTTTAAACTGCTTACTCTCAATTTGTATCTTTCTGGATATGCACTAAAGGTATTGTAGGCACTCAAGAGTTGTTTAAAGTGGCTAGCCATTCAATTTTTTTCAAATAAATACATACATTTTTAAGGAAAGATTTAGAAAAGCTGGTCAGTTAATGTATTAATGTAATACTCTGGAGTCTAAAGCAAACCAAGATTGGAAGCTCATGTTTACAGATTAATCCAGCAAATTTTCTCTTTGAATAACCAGGAAAAGAAGCCAACATGCATCCAATTAAAGGCCAACCTAATCAAGCAAAATTTCTCCTGGGATTTTTTTTTTTTGGAGATGTAACCCAGATTAGCCAGAAGTGCAGAAGTAACACACAAGACACTATGAGAACCGCAGCTCTTTTCTACTAACATGCTTTGCCACACTACAGTTCAATGAATTTGCAAGCCTTGCATAAGGGGCTGTAAATCCATCACCCTCCTCCTCTGCTTTGCTCTTATCAATAGTAGATTACAAATGCTTTTAGCTTGGAAATGTCAAGTGAATGAATAACAAACTCAAAGCTGGAGGGCAAAGAAGGCAGCAAGTATTTACAATGAAGAACACAAACAACAACAAAATCCCCTTGGATATGCATACTAGCCAACATTGGGTTCTCTGATGCTCACATAACTGCAAGTTTGGAGTCAGCATTGGGCCATTGAAGACAACATGTCCTATGGCAGACACACTGTTCCCTTAACACAGGTAGTCCTTGACTTACAACCATTCATTTAGCAACCATTTGAAGTTACAGTGACATGATCAAAATTCAGGCATTTGGCAAATCAGCAATGTATGTATAACTATTGCTGTACCTTCGGGCATATAATCAATATTTGCAACCTTTCCAGCTGGTTTCTGACAAGCAAAGTCACTAGGGGAAGGAAGATTCACTTTATGACCATGTGATTCATTTAACAATTGCAGTGGTTTTCTTAACAATTATGGCAAAAATATATAATTTATACATTAATAATTAAATTATAACGTTATAATTTAATTATAACAACTCAACCGCCTTGCTTAGCAACTGAAACTCTGGTCTTCGTGATGGTCATAAGTCGAGGACTAACTGCACCGCTACCTAGAGGCAAGATATGCTAACTGTGACCCAGAAATAGCATGCAGCTATCATAATTAGTCGTCATTATAAACATCTGGGAAACATTGCTAATTTATACTGCAGTCATTAAGGTCAAATCACTGGATACTAGTCAAGGATTCAATAGGCCGAAAGTTCCCAAATTCAATATCACCTCAGCTTTTGTATGTACTTGTTGATAAAAAGGCAAGATGTAGGAGAAGAACAGGCGGAACTGGGTGGTGATGGTGGAGTTAAACATGTTATCAGCTTAGAATCGTTACATCCCCACAATGATCCAATTCCAACCACTCTTAAATTCCACTGGAGCCAATTTTATACTGCACTTTAGGTGACTGGATCCTTGTGTATAGGGCTTGTGCAATAAATCTACTGAACCACAATTGAATGGTCCTGATCCTTTGCGCCTTTGTACAGAAAGGAGGAGAAGGAGGAAAGAAGGAATAGAAATTGAGCAGCAAAGTTCCAAGATAGTTTGCAGGAGCCAGCACATTTTCTTCCATGGATTGTCCCCAATCACAGCAGAGGGATGCTGGTCCACCTCAACCACAAATGTACATCTCTACTGATGACAAGAGAAGGATCCCACCCATTAAACCAAGAAGCTCAAATTCAGAATACAAGCTATTGCACATCTGTTCTGTTTTCCCCTACTTTCATACAGCAGGTGAAGAAACCAGAGCAAAGCTCTTAAGGGAAAAATAGGATCAATGACTTACTTTTTCTTGATCTGGAGAAGAACTTGATTCCTCCAGGGGAGGTGGAAGGGTTAGAGCCAGAGGAGGAAGAGTCTTTTGAAGACGACCTGAAAATCCCACTGAAGCTCATGCGTCGAGGGGAGCGAGGTGGTGATTCCTGGTATGGGAAGGGAAACACCGTTTTGGGTGAGCCTGGACTATGTTTAGACTTGACAGGAGCCGAAGACGGACTGGAAGGTCGGTTCTGGAACCCCTTTGAGAAGATTCCTTTGGAGGGGCTCCCTGAATTGTAGCTGTCTTCTGTCTACAAAGGAAAAAAAAAAAGTGTTGAGTTGAAATATTGGGAATTAATAGAATCATAGAATACAGAATCATAGGGCTGGAAGGACCTTGTGACTCAAGGCAGGAAGACCTTATATTATCCTAATCAAAAGGTTGTCCAAACTATTTTTTAAAACATCCATTAATGAAGCACCCACAACTCTGAGAGGCAAACTGTTCAGGGGTGGGTTTCAAAGTTTTTAGCAAAGGGTTCTCTGCCTGGCTGCTGAGTGGGTGTGGCCGTGGTGGGCGTGTGGCCTAGTTGGCCTCCTGCACCATGGGGTTGCCCTCCCTGGGCTTCAGATGCTTTCCTTGAGCCTCCGGGAGGGCGAAAACAGGCTTCCTGGGTTCCGGAGGCTTTCTGGAAGCTGGAAACGGGCCCATTTCCAGCCTTCCTGAACTTCCAGGAGGCCCGTTTTTCACCCTCCCTGAGCCTCCGTGCGCGCCCTGCACTTGCCTGCATCCAAAACAGGCCCGGTTGGGACTCCTGGGAGGGGAGGGGCAGGGCAGGGCGGGCGGGGCCAGCCAGGAGTGGGATTTGGGGGTTCTTCAAACTGCACAGAAACTTAGATGGGTGCTCTTCCGAACCCCCAGCAGCCCTGAAATTATTCTATTGATAATTGTTCTCATTGTCAGGAAATTTGTCCTGAACTCTAGGCTGGATCTCTTCTTAACAAGCTTCCACCCATAACTTCTTGTCCTGCCCTCTGGTGCTTTAGAGAATCCCCTCAAATATTGGAAGACAGTTATCAGGTCCTGCCCACCCCTATACTTCTCTTCTTTAGGCTAGTCATACCTAGCTCCTTCAACTATTTGTTATATAATTTAGCCTATTGATCAGTAGTGGGATTCAAAAAATTTTACTGCCGGTTCTGTGGACATGGCTTGGTGGGCATGGCAGGGGAAGGATACTGTATAGTCTCCAGTCAGAGGTGGGATTTGCTGATTCTCTGAACTACTCAAAATTTCCACTATCAGTTCTCCAGAACTGATCAGAACCTGCTGAATACCACCTCTGTGCTGATGCTTTATCATAGTTGTTGCTCTTCTCTGCACACTTTCTCAATTAACACAATTAAAAAAACAAATATCACCTTATTCTATTTCAGCTTCCAAGTGCAAGGCTTTATTATGTATGTACAAAATCTACCATCTTTTGGTCATTGTATGTTGCACTTCTTAAACAATATTATTTGTCTGTGCAAAAATCCAGTTCTCAACAACTACTGTTCTCAAGGATATAACAAAAGTTACAGAGACACTGGGATCAAGAAAGTAATGTGTCATTTGGAAAACCTAAGGCCACATGCAGTTTTTTTCTATAAAAGGCAATCTATCAATGGGAAATATTAAATCAGGGTCAGGAGCTAAAAATAAGCAAAAATCAAAGAGCTCTTGTGTCTCTCTGTTATCACCACCTTCAGCTTCAACTTCTAATTCTCTGTCTTTTCTCCAGAGTACCATCCACATGAACAAGAAACAATGATTATATAGGTTTTGTTAAGCTCTCTTTCCAGTGTGTGTGTGTGCGCGCACACACACGTGTGTATGCACATACCTAGGGAATACGGTATATTCTAGTACACACACACATACACATGTACACAAACACACTTTCTAAGATTTCCCAGGTAGAGTGTATTTTGGTTCTTGTTCAGTATTTATGAGAAAAAAAATCCCATGCAACATCCGCCATCCAAGTTCTCAGAAAGAAAATCTGAGGGGCAGCCAAAAAGTAAGATTCGTTTGAGATCTAAGACAGGACTTGATCTGAGGGTTGTTGTTGTAGTTGTTGTTGTTGGCACATAGAAGGATAGCTGGATTGATGGGGCTTAAAGGTTGGAGACCAGCCCATTTTGACTGAGTTTCAAAGCCTTTTTTTAAAAAGCCTGGAGCACCATTACCCAAAGATTTGTCATCTAGGATGAATTCTTTGAGGACATCCAAAGAATGGATATTTCTCTACAGGACATGTGGCAAGAGCAATTTTTGAATGAGAAATTATTTATGAACACAAACAAAGCATCTACCATCTTCCTCTTTTTATCAACCTCATGGATGCTGCCAGCTGGATTCCTTTGAATCAAACAGAACAGACATACCTTAATTCCCCACTTCAAGGTCACAGAAAGAGATCAGATCAATCATCTCATCTCCTCCCTCCCCACCTCCCTCTTCTAGGCTGTCTGGCCCCAAAACTGATTCCAAATAGCTTCACCAAGTTAGAAACAGTCTCATAATATTAAACATTTAACTCACATAATTACCTCCAGGAACAATTTTTTTTAGAAAAAGTCCAGTCACTCCCAAACTTCAAAGAGTCCACTAGTCACTCCCCACCCAAGGCCTGAAGGAAGAACCACATGTTTAGGGCATGCTTGAAGCAAGGGTGGGATTCCAACTTTTTAACAAACAGTTCTGTAGACGTGGCTAGGTGGGCGTGCCTTTTTTTTTTGCAGTAACCCTCCCCCCGCACTCTGTTTTTTGGGTCTCCTGGGCCTCAGGGAAGCCTCCTGGGGGGTGGGGGGCATTTTTGCACCCAGGAAACTTCCCTGAGGCTCAAAAAGGCAAAAAAATGGAGCACGGGGGGAGTACACCCCCTCCATGCGCCCCTTTTTGCCTCCTGGGCCTCAGGGAAGCCTCCTGGATGAAGCAGTAAGACAGCGAGAGATTCCGGCACAGCCGATCGTCGGAACAGCTGATCATTGGGAGGAAAAGAAAAAAAAGAAATACCTTAATGAGTGACTGGGCGGGGGAGAATACAGCCAGCGATGTCGGGCATACATGCGATGTGGCGCATGCGTGATAAGGACTGACTGGGCAAGGAGGGGAGGGGCAGACGGAGAGGGAGGGGCCAGCCAGGGACACGATTTGCCAGTTCTCTGAACTGCACAGAATCGTAACAACTGGTTCTATAGAACTGGTCCAAACTGGTAGAATTCCACCCCTGGCTTGAAGGTAGGAAGAGGGAGGGGCAAAGAATGCTGCTCCAGAGCCCAGTCACTGTTATAGATAAGGCCTCCTTCCTAGGTCCCTCTAGATGATATTACTTAATTGGCAGGATCTAAAGCAAGTGGTCCAATCATATAGGATGAGCAAAGAATGATGGAAGGCAGATGGCTTCTTAGACAACTAAATTCTATGCAACATTGGGCTTTAAAGATAATACAGATAATATGTATTTGAGAGGCTGCCACAAAGAAGAGTGGGACAACCTATTTTCCAAAATACCTGAAGACAAGACAAGAACTAACAGATGGAAAGTTATCAAAGAGAAATCCAACCTAGAACTGAGGAGAAATTTCCTGACAGTGACTACACTTGATTAGTGGAACAGCTTATCCCCAGAAGTTGTGGATGCTCCAACACTGGAGGTTAAGAAGAGGTTAAACGGACTGGTATAGGATCTCCTGCTTGGGTGGAATTCGACTAGAAGACTTCTAGTCGAAGGTCCCTTCCAACTCTGTTATTTTATATTCTGTATTCTAGCAATAGAAGAGAATATTTCAGGATTGAACTGGGGATCCTTGGTGCTTTGAGCTTGGTTGTTTCCTTGCAAACATTTCATTACTAAACTAGGTAACATATTCACTGAATGAAATGTCTGCAAGAAAACAGCCAGACAGCACTAAAGACTCCATAGGTAACATGTATTCCATAATATTCAGACCTCCAGCTATCAGCATGTATCCGATATAAACTTCCTCCCAAAATTTTTCTTTCATGGCAAATCCATACTGACCAAATCACATCATTTTAATTTGATTTCATTTAATCTTTCTTTGTGCAAAATTAAAAATTTATAACTAAAACATTAAATACCAGGCTGATATTGGGAGCCTAGTCTGAGAGAAGACCTCAGGAAAGATGCCTTTAAATTGGTGAAAATTATCATTTTAACACAATAACCAAACAGCTCTGAAATCAACCCCTCTTGCTATGCAAGGGCCTTCACTCATATACATTTCCTAGAGAGACGGTCCTCACACTTTAATTTTCAAAAAACATAAAAAGAGCAAATTTATTAAAATATAGCAGTATTTCTAGGGCATTGTGGGTCAAAAAGGTCAAGATGGCAGCTGCAACCGCATAAGAGATGTATGTTCCTTTTTAATATGCATTGCAAAGTATGTTTGAATGGAGATGTCCTTAAGTGGAGGCTCTTGAGACAGCTGAAGTCCAACTCCCAGAATTCCCAATCCACACGGCCAACTGAAAGTACCGGACTGGGGAAAATTAGGCCATCCTGAAATTTCTTCATATTTGAATGACAATACCAAGGGTGGGATGCTACCGGTTCTGTCCGGCTCTATAGAATCAGTATCTCTGAAGAGCAGCAAACACTGAACTGGTTCTGTGTCTGCTGCTGTTTGGCCCACCCACCCGCCTGGGCTCTTACCTGTCCTTTATTTCCTGTTTTTTCAACCTCAGCTGCTTTGCGCGGCACGGCTGAGGTTGAAAAAGCAGGAAAAAAGAGGCTTTTCAAACGCTGCGCACCTGCGCGCAACACTTTTCAGCTGTCCTCAACTTACAATTACAATTGGAACTGCACCTTCTACTGCGATGTGGTCATCATTTGACTGTACCTGATTTTATGACCTTTTTGTCCATTGTTGTTAAGCAAATCTGGCTTCCTCTTACTGACTTCCTAGCCAGCTGGGAAGGTCTCTAACAGTGATCATCTGACCCTGGGACCCTGCATCCATTATAAAGACATGCTGATTGCCAAGTGCCCGAAAGAATCATGGGACTATAGGGATGCTGTAGCAGTGATAAATGCAAGAAACAATCGTAAGTCACTTTTTTCAGTATAGTTGTAACTGAACGAATGGCCACAAATTGAGGACTATCTGAACACCGTAGCTTTAAGAATTACAACATCTACCATATTTTTCAGACTATAAGACAAACTTCCCCCCCCACCACAAAAAAAAGTGGGTGGAAATGTTTGTGCGTCTTATAGAGCAAATATGCACCCGTTTTTGGCCTCCCAAACCCTCCACGCATCCTGTTTTTGCCCTCCCCAGCATCCAGAAGCACTTTGCAGGCCAAAAACGGGCTCCGCATGTCCCATTTTCAGTCTCACCGGAGGGCAAAAACGGGATGTGTGGAGGGTTTGGGAGACCAAAAACGGGCCCATTTTTGGCCTGCAGAGTGCTTCTGGACACCGGGGAGGGCAACAAAAGGACATGTGGAGGCAAAACTATTTTTTTCTTGTTTTCCTCATTTAAACCAAGGTGTGTCTTACAGTCCGAAAAATATGGTATATTACTTTTGCAGCTCTACTCTCGCCCTCTTATTTTAGGAGATGGGTCATCTTTCTATCAAGACCCTTCATGTGGGCAGCAGAACATCTATTTGTACTGCTCTTCTTTTAGCGTATGCTGAACCTTTGTGGGGACTTCTTCTTCATCTGCCCCCCCCCCCCCCATTCTTCTCTTTTGAGGAAAATCCAAACATTCTGACAAACCCATACTTCAGTAAGACCCTCCTTGAATTTCCCCACTTCACTTGGAAGCAAAAGCATTGATCTCACTTTAAGAACCATCTAGCAAAAAAATTGTAGCATCTTGCCCAGGACTAACACCCAAACCTACTCCACACTGTTGTTACAAGATATTTCGTAGTATTCTAGAACAGAAGAAGCAATAGCACAGCCTTCAGACTTATTTACCACTTCACAGTGCTTTCCAGCCCTCTCTAAGCAGTTTACAGAGTCAGCCTATTGCCCCCAATAATCTGGGTCCTCATTTTACCACCTCAGAAGAATGGAAGGCTGAGTCAACCTTGAGCCAGTCAGGATCGAATAGCCAAATTACAAGCAGCCAGCAGGCAGTAGGATAGCTGCAGTACTGTATTCTAACCACTGCACCACCATGGAACATTTCTTCAAATGTTGGAACAATAAGTCAACTCCTTGCTCTTGGCCATGCGGAGCTGCAGAGAAGGGAATGGAGGTCTAAGGGACCTGGAGATAAGGGTTGATGGGCTCTTCCTATACTAAGACTTCCTTCCACAACTTGATGTTTGATATATGTGATAGCTTACAATTGGTATGTGCCTCAGTGCATACAGTTATTTGAATATTCATCTCCTCTTACAAAATCTTGCTTTGGTCCCAAAAATTTCTGCACAAGCTTTTTAGAAGTAAGTTAATCAGGAATAAAGTGATAAAAACATCATGAAGACGCCTAGCTATACATTTTCACTGGCAACTATAGGCAGAACTTCATCTGTGCATACAGACTCATCTCATCAGTGGCTTCATAATTTTTCTTTTAGCTTTTGATTAGGAAAAATTAAAGCATTAAATTCCAACCCAAGGGATAGTGGCTTTACATCATAGATAAGAACACAGAATAGCATCAAGAAGCAGAGTGGGTGAAATGCCAACCTTTTAAGGACCTGGAATGTCCTTTGCTAAATACAGTAGTCTTTTCCGCTCTCAATTAGATTGTAAAAACCCTAAAAAGTCGCACTATGGTAGATGTGAGTCAGCTCCACTGTACTTCAGCCAATTTCAGCTGCTAAATTAATCTACTTGTGAAATCAATGGATCCTGGAAAACATTAACACCAGACAGAAAAATTGCTCCTGGAATTTTTCTTGAAGTTGTCACAAGAGGTTTTTTTTAAAAAGGAACACCAGATCAACTGGATTTTAAATGTTACCCTTCCAAATGCACGCATGGCTTCCTCAGGAGAAATACCGGTACATTTGTTTAGTGACCATTCAAAGTTACAATGGCACAGAAAAAAGTGACTTATGACTGGTTTTCACACTTATAACTATTGTAGCATCCTCATGGTCACGTGATCAAAATTCATATGCTTGGCCACTGGCAAGTATTTATGACAGTTGCTATGTCCCAGGATCAAGTGATCCCATTTTGTGACCTTCTGAGAAGCAAAGTCAGTGGGGAAGCCAGCTTCATTTGATAACCATGTTATTAACTTAACAACTGCAGTTATTCACTTAACAACTATGGCAAGAAAGGTTGTAAAATGGGGCAAAACCAGTGGTGGGATTCAGCTGGTTCGCATCAATTCAGTAGAACCAGTAGCTAATTTTCTGTGGAGTTCAGCAAACTAGCTGAATAGCATCCAGTTCAATCCCTCCAGCCCACAGTGCCTCAGCCTGCCCCGGCTGGATGCTCCCTCTGGTCATATGCAGTGCATTTGCCTCCCTTGCCCAGCCTTGCCTCGCCTCGCCCCTCCCCTCCCAGCCACTCCTTGTCTCACCTTGCCTTGGCCGTCCACTCGCTTCGGCCTCCTGCTCGCCCATTTCAGTGCCTGTCACCCAGATGCCCTAGCGTCCCCCAAGCATTTCTTTGCTAACCTGATTTCCAACTCCGTCGTGTTTCTCGCTGTTGTGTTCAGGGAAACAAAAGTTTGTGGGACTAAAAAAAAAAAAAGTTGAATCAATCAATTCCAATTTTTCACACACACAAAAAAATAAAAATACCGCAAAGTTGGAATTTTGATTAAACTTTTTCTTGTAGTCCCACAAATTTTTACCCCTGCACACGAAGGCGAGAAACACGACGGAGTTGGAAATTAGGTAGGCAAAGAAATACTTGGAAGAAATGAGGGCATCTGGGCGGTGATGTGGGGGCAAGCTCTGTGACGTAGGAAACAGGAAACGGAGTGGACCGCATAAGGGAAGGAGGAGAAGCAGGGAGAAGAAAGAGAGAAAGCAGCCTCCTCCTTCCCTCACACTGGCAGCTCCATTTTCTTTCTCTCCATTGCAGCACAGCGCCCAGGATCCATTTTGACAATGGGAAGTGGGGGTAATTTAACAACCGTTTTGCCCAGGCTCAGGTTGGCCATCATGGGAGGCTCATCCAGGATATGTGGCAGAGCTGGAGGATGGGATGGCATGCCTCTCACAATGGCCAACCTGACTCTGGGTGAACCGGTTGTTAAATTATTTGCATCCCACCACTGGGCAAAACTCACTTAACAAGTGTCTTGCTTAACAATGGAAATTTTGCGCCAGGGGCCACTTGTATTCATTTTCATTTCAATACAATATTACAAAGAATCAGATCAAAGTTTAATCCAGGTTAACATAACATTCCCACAGACTAACCAGCTGGCTGGAGAAAAACTGGTTTGAAGAACAGACCCATTCGGGTTTTGTTTCACCACACCTGCTAGAGCAGGGGTGTCAAACTCGCATCACCACGGCAGTGTCACATGATGTATTGGGACTTTTTCCCCCTTTGCTAAATCGGGTGTGGGCGTGGCCAGCACGTGACATATCTGGCCCGCGGGCCGCGGGTTTGACAGCCCTGTGCTAGAGGAAGGAATCTCCCCCCAAAAAACCCGCACTGGATCAGAATTCACTAACACATGGCCTGTTTTCAGAAGATCTGACTTCTCCACAGCTTCAGTGTTCTATGAGATTGGTGCATAGCTGGTTGCTCGCTTGCTTCTCCATTTCTTTCATTGCAGCTGACCATTATTCTTTTTTTGTGTGTACTTAATCATTTTCTGCTTATAAAAAAATCTCCGCTCTATCCCATAATGCAGTCTCAGTGTGTCATAAGAAGCTTTCTTGGGAAGACACGGCTGAGCAATTGGTCAGTAGTTCATGAGATATTTGGAAGTTTATTTGAGAAACTGATTATGGTGAGAGGGATAAATATAGTTCTGGAGAACTGAAAGCCTCTGCTTGTTTTCGGTCTTTCCAATGGTACTTAATGAGCAGCTTTTTTAATTGGGTGGCTTTCCCGATGCTGGCGGAGCAAAGAGCTTATGAAATAAAGAACAATGGGAATGGAGAGAGATCTAGATCTTTCTCTTTTAAATCACTCTTGAGACTGCTTGAACAACTCCTCCTCCCTCCAGTTTTCTTGGCAAAGCTTTTTGGAAGTAGTTTGCCACTGCCTGCTTCCCAGGGCTGAGAGAGAAGGACCAGCCCAAAGTCACCCAAATAAATATTACTTATTTACTCTTAAATGTAGAGCCCACCTTTAATATGGAATAACAGAATAGCAGAGCTGAAAGGGACCTTTCTTGTCCAACCCTCTACTCAGGTAGGAAACTCTATAAACCAGGGGAGTCACACTCAAGGTCCGAGGGTCTGATCCGACCCGTGGGATGCTAAGAACTGGCCTAAGGGGCCGCCCTGGAAACAGCAAAGGACCGGCCCGCGTTGCCTGTGCCAGCAAAAACGAAGCTCGGGAGCGGCGCATGTGGCCCTCCCAGGTTCCATTTTTGGCTGCATGGCCTCCTGCAGCCCTCTGCCAGCAAAAAATGGAGCTCGTATGTGGCCCCTCCAAGCTCCATTTTCACCGGCACAGGGCTGCAGTAGGCCATCACAGCTGAAAACAAGTGGTGTCGAGCTGACATGAGTGACATCGAGCTAGTCACACCCACCCCGGCCACACACACACACACACACACACACGAGGTCAAACACAACTCTGATAAGGCCCTCAATGAAATCAAATTTGATACCCCTGCTATAAACCATTTCGGACAAGTGGCTGTCCAGTCTCTTCTTAAAAACCTCCAGTATAGAAGCAACTGCAATTTCTAGAGGCAACCCGTTCCGTTAATTAATTGGAAACTGAAAATGGCACCCATAGCCATGAGGTGGCTAGTGGAGAAGGTGACACAGGGTTTCCTTTCTGGGTACACTTTGCTCCCTGGGCACACTTTGCTCTCCACCCTGGTTAATTTAATTTCAACTGAATTTTAAATGTTTGATCCTTATTCATTGTTTCTAATGTTTTACAGTGCATCTTAATTGAAAGTCTGTAGGCTGCCTAGGATCGTCTCTGGCAAGATGGGCAGCATACAAGTTTAATAAATAAATAATAAATAACACAACATTCTTTGAGTTCCTTAATTTGGTTTTCCAAAGGGCATCTGAAGGTCCCTACCTTTCGCGAAGCATGTTTCTCAGACCCATCCATATCTCCATCCAGGAACGGCATGGCAAAGGAACTGAGATCCTAAAATAAACATTTCAGAAAATTTCATTAAAGCTTGAAAATTTCATTAAAGCTTGAAAAATACCCATAATTACAAATATTGTTAAGTCCCCAAGCTATTTCCCCAAGCTATTTACCCTGCTTCAGGGTAAGTTTATTTGAATGATATCAAAGCAACAATGGGAATCTTTAAAGGACCTGACAACACAGGATAAAGAGGTGCTTGGTTGACCACAGCAGTTGCTCCAGTACCCAAGATAAAAGCTACAAGAGGGGATTGAAGCTCTGGCCATTTTGTTTTATGTGTGATGGACATAAAAGATAGATAACGGCCTTTGGAGGTACTATCTTAGTTGACACCTTAATGTTTTGGACCACACTCTGCTAGTTACCCCATATAAAGTGTTTTGGGGTCACTGGTTTTACCAGTTTTAACTGGCCAGCCATCAAGGATGATAGAAAGTTGGCTCAACAATGACTTCAAACTAGTAGCTAGGCTGTATCAGTAACTGATATAAGCAAACAGTAGTGACCAACTGTACATTCTGGGCATAGCTACTCAGGTGTCCCATTGAGTCCAATGATGCTTACTCCTAGGTAAGTGAGGATCCTGTATTGTGAGGCCCTGCACACGGTCATTCATGCCCTGGTCATTTATTGGCTGGATTACTGCAATACACTCCACAAGGGGGTAGCATTGACAAGTATTTGGAAGCTATTGTTGCCACGGTCCAATTCAAGATGTTGGTCGTTATCTTTAAAGCACTTCATGGCAATGGGTGCAGGGTATCTGAGGAGGCATCCCACCCTAATAGGATGATTAGCCCACTCCTCTTGCTCCAGTGGAAGAGGCTTGCTACAAGCTCTAAGTCTCAAGGAATTTTAAGTAAGGATCCAGGAGAAGGACCTTTTCCACCATGGACCCCACCACCCTGTGGAACCTTCTGCTGCTGGAGCTGAAATCTGTCCCCACACTTTTGGTCTTCCAAAAGGGCCTTAAACACAGGTGGTCTTCAGCCAGTTCTGGAGAACCGGTAGCGGAAATTTTGAGTAGTTCAGAGAATTGGCAAATACCATCTCTGACTGGCCACATCCCATCTATTCTCTGCCTCCCGAGTCCCAGCTGATTGGCTGGGTCTTCTTTGGTTGCCCTGCCCAGGAGAACGGAGCTGGAAATCAGGTTAGTGGGGTGGGGAGGGAAGGGGGATTTTGCAGCAACTGCCATGCCCATCAAGCCACATCCACCAAGCTACACCCACAAAACTGGTAGTAAAAGTTTTTGAGGCCCACTACTGGCCTTAACACCTGGCTTTGCTGGCAGACTTGGGCCTTCACTAGAGGTGACTAACTGGGTAGAAAGAAGGCCTTGGCCTTGCCCAGGCCTTTAGTTTTTAGTTCCTATTTAAGCATTCCTATTTTTTATTGTTTTTATAATTATCTCTTTATCATTTTGTAAGCTGCCCAGAGTCACTTTACCAATGAGATAGACGGCATATTAGATAAGATAGATAAGATGAGAGATGAGAAAAAGAGAATCAGAATAACAAGGGAAGGGACCTTGTAGGTCATCTAATCCACCCCCACCCCCGCCCAAGCAGCAGATCCTACGCGGTTTCTGACAGATGGCAGTCCAGACAGACAGAAACATAGACAGATATGTATAGATAGACAGACAGACAGATGACAAATAGCCAGGAGGGAGGGAAGGAGAAATGTATAGGAATGCAGCCCAAATACAATTAAAGGTGTCCAACTTAAAGCCAAGCAAGTGGAAGAAAGACATCTTCAGGGGATCCTTTCAGATCATAAGAGATACCTCCTCAAAGGTCGTTGCTCCTGGAACCAAACTACTTTTGGCCTTAGTGGGAGCAGAAACATACGTGCTCCTTTTTTCATGCCACATCCGAGCGGGTGGTCTAGTCTGCAATTCTTTTAGAGTATGAGGATTACGCTTCTCCCTCTTCTCTCGCAGCCTCATGATCATTAGGTTTTATTTCCTGGTGAACAAAGTTTCTCTAAGAAAATTCGATCCTCTGCGGCCGTCTTCTTCCCAGAAAAGGAAGGACACAGCTGCACTGACAAGTCTTCCCTCCTACCCTGGGCCTCTTCTGAAATCAGTTAGAAAAAGCGGTTGGCTCCTCATTCTTCATTCTCTTTCCAGAAGGTTCTAGAGACTACATGCCTCAGAAAGACCACATGCAGGTTCTTCCTAAAGCAAATAAATATTCCATACTGACAGGCCTTGGCTTGCAATCATTCATTTAGTGACCGTTCAAAGTTATAACAGCAGTGAAAATAGTCACCGATGACTGTTGGTCACTCTTAGGAAGACCATTGCAGCATCTCCATGGTGTCATGATCAAAATTCGGATGCTTGGCAACTGGCATGTATTTATGTTGGTTGGTGTCACACGATCCCTTTTAGTCACTGTCTGACTGGCACAGCGGGAAGCCAAATTCACTTATCAACCATGTTACTAACTTAACAACTGCAATTATTCTGTCAGCGTTCCAGAAAACCTCCACTCCGACAAATAACTCCAAGACAGACAGAACTTCCCAAAAGTTCTGGTTTATTTGGATACTAAACTGGCACATTTGGGGAATACCACATGAAATTGTTTAATCAATCTATCTGCCTGTATATCCCAACTTTTTTACCCAAGCAGCTTCTGACAATAGCATAAAACGGTAGCCTTTCCAAATTGTCATCGTCCTCGGCGTAATCTAGAATCGAGGAATTCCTTTATCTCATAATGTGTTTCGCCCTGTACTACCAGAGGTTTGGAGGGAGTCCCCAGATATGCCAGTTTACTATCCAAATAAAACAGAACTTTTGAAAGATGTCTGTCTCGGAGTTTTTTGTTGGAGTGGAGGTTTTCTGGAATGCTGATAGATTCACTTAACTGGGCAGGAAAAGCAAAACACACTTAACAATTGTCTTGCTTAGCAAAGGAAATTTGGGCGTCAATTGTGGTGGTTAAGTCAAGGACTATCCGTACTCGTCCAGAGCTCCTATTCTCACATGCACACCTGCAACGACTCTAGCATTTATTTCACACAGTGTCAGTGCTAAAGCTGTCTTTGAATCTACCTGGAGACACAAATAATACCGGAAGAAGGCCAACATGGCTGCCTTTTCGAATTGAACTAAAAAAGAGGCAGTAGTGAGGCACCACTGCTTGATTTATTTGCAGGAACCCATCCTCTTCTTAATGATATTTAATAAAGAAAATTGAGGTGATGGAAAAGGGGAAATAGGGAGACCCTTATGCTAACAGATAATCAGAGTTGGAAGGGACCTTGTAGGTCATCTAGTCCAACCCCCCTGCCCAAACGGGAGACCCTACATCATTTCTGACAAATGGCAGTCCAATCTCTTCTTGAAAGTCTTAAGTGATGGAGCTCCCACAACTTCCGAGGGCAACTTCTGTTCCATTGGTTGATTGTTCTCACCGTCAGTAAGATTCTTTAAACAATACAGGTAGTCCTTGACTTATGATCACTATTGAGCCCCAGATTTCTGTTGTTAAGTGAGACATTTATTAAATGAGTTTTGCTCCATTTTACGACCTTTCTTGCCGCAGTTGTTAAATGAATCAATGCAGCTATTCACTTAATAACAAGGTTGTTAAGTGAATCCGACTTCCCCATTGACTTTGCCTGTCAAGAAAGGGGATCCCATGACCTTGGGACACAGCAACTGTCATAAATAGGAAACAGTTGCCAAGTGTCCGAATTTTGACCACATGATCATGGGGACCCTGCAAAGATTGTAACTGTGAAAAACAGTCATAAGTCACATTTTTCAGTGCCGTTTTAACTTTGAACAGTGACTAAACAAACTGTTGTACAAGAGAAATCGAATCTAATGAGACAAAAGATATAGATATACAGAATATATAGATATATAGGAATGTAGATATATAATTCTTTATTGGCCAAGTGTGATTGGACACACAAGGAATTTGTCTTGGTGCAAATGCTCTCACATAAAAAGAAAAGAGACATTCGTCAAGAGTCAAGCATCATCAGTACAATACAACAATAGTCGTAGGGCACAATGCCCTATGAGATGCCCAAGTCATCCTCATTCATTCTCCCCCCCCATCTTAATTATTTTTTTATAAATAACCCAAGATGATGAGCATTCCTAAGACTCCTTTCTCCTCCTATTTTCCACATAACTACCCCATGAGAGAGGCTGGGCTGAGAGAGAATGACTGATCTAAAAGTCACCCAGCTTGCTTTCGTTCCTGCGTCACAACTTGAACTCACTGTCTCCTGGTGATTGGCCCAAAGCCATCCAGCCAGTCTAAGACAGGACTAGAACTCACTGTCTCCTGGTTTCTAGCCTGGTGCCTAATCCATCAGACCAGGTCTCCAAACTTGGCAACTTTAAGACTTATGGACTTCAACTCGTGCATGTTTTAAAGGATTTGCGCTGAATGACTTGTGCCTCTTCAGCACATGCAGAGAACGATTCTGGCGGAGGTTCAACTGTTTTGGACATGAATTTAAAGAACTTTAGGTCTATGGATTTTCTCAGTCATCCAGGTCACGGTTGCCCCAAACTGAAAAAGCTTCTTGGATGAGAAGCGAACAATGAGATGTTAAGACTTTGGGGGAAAGTGCAGAAGAGCAGCTAAGACGATTAAAGGCCTGGAGACTAAAACATACAAAGAACGGTTGTGGGATTTGGGTATGGCTTAGTCTAGAGCAGAGGTCTCCAAACTTGGTAACTTTAAGACTTGTGGACTTCAACTCCCAGAATTCTGAAGTCTACAAGTCTTAAAGTTGCCAAGTTTGGGGACCCCTGCACTAGACCAAATTGGCTCTCTAATTTTCTACTTCTAGAAAATAAACATTATTTAACTTCCTGCTGTTACTGGAAATTTCTGTGCTACTTGAAGTTTCTGATTAACTTCACTTTTTACCTAAACATTTTCTGCTTTTACGTTGTCTCAGTTTTTAGAAGCACAGAGGATAAAGCTGTCAGTTTGCACCGAACTCAAATAATT